CCCATCCAATTCAACATTCCCAACCATCATACAATATCACCATCAACCCATACAAACACTCAACAACTCAATTACACAATCCTAAAATCAATCAATTTCACAAAGTATTGGATTTCCACTTCAAAATTTCCCAAGTTATGCATATATTTCCTCAATAATTTTTATGGCATTTATCACTCTAAAACATCATTCTAAGCCACTTTTATCTAATACACATTTTCAATTTGAGTTCTCCAACTACATCAATCACACAAACATGCTCTAGGTTTCATGAAATATGATCTACGAAATTAACCACTAAAAGGTGTTGAAACTTACCCACAATCAAGTCACAAGACTCCTCCAAGTGATCCCCAAGCAATGACTTGAGCAAACAACTCCAAAAAATCCCAAAATTCCCTTCAATTTCGTGGCTGACTTTGCCCTTTTTCTCACAAATGAGAGGGTTTCAAGGAAAACTAATCGGTGGGATGTGTTCGGGTGATGACTTTCAACAACTTTGCTCACAAACTTTTCTTGATTCGGAGTAGTATTGAAGGAGTTATGAGGAAGAGAAGATTTGAAACAAAAATGACCAAGGGAAGGGGGGGTTCCACGGTTTTAGGAGAGAGAGAGAGAGAGGGGATGAGGGTGATGATGAATAATGATGTGCCAAGTGGACTTAAGTCATTTAGGTGAGGTGGGCCTCACCGCCACCTCACGCGATTTCAAACTAATTCAAATCTCCCGCTTATTCCACTAAACGTCCATAATTTCATAACCTATTTAGAAATTCTAATTTTTAACATTAACCATTATCCTTTAATTACCCTAGATCAGATGAATTCGGAGTTTTTCGGTCGTTCGGAGAAATTGCAGTTTTAAGTTGTTTTGCTCGCTGTGGGCACGCTTCCCTAAACTCACTAATTTCCATCATTTTTCATCGGAAATCATATTTCCTAGTCCCATATACCATTTATAACTTATATCCAAACCTAGAGCTCAAAATTCAATCAGCATGTTTTACGGTGCAACTGTACCGCAAGATTTTTATCCAGTAAAAATACTATTCACCGAATTTTCAGAAACTTGCCTAATCATTCAATTTTTCATTCTGAATCCATTTCCAGGGTTATTTTTATCATTTGAGACCTACTCCATTTTACTCTCCTAGGGTTACGTGTTTGGCTAATTACCGTTTTATCCTTTCCTTTGTATTTTGACCTAATTTTCAAGATTTTCACTAATCCTTCCTTTTAATCCACATTTAATATACTAATATATGTTTTAGAAATGTGAGGTGTTATAACTCTCAATCAACTAAAAATCTCACAATTCTAAGGTTTCACTTTTCATATATCTCAATCACTTACTTGTCAGTATATGTTTTCCAACACCGCTATAGCATGTTATAAAAATATTGTAGTAGGTTTCATCGTTATTCAACATTTAGATATGTGGGTTGTTATAGCCATTATACCATTTGTAATGCAAAAAGAGCTTACAATTATGTTGTGCAGATGTTTAAGTTTAAGTGAAAAGAATGCATCTTTACAAAAAAAAAAAGGATAAAAAAGAATATGCCTGTTTTGAGTCACAAACCGAATCTAGTATCTAAAGTGCAGTTTCTTAGCATATAGCACATATGGATACAGAAATAATTGAAAGAGATACATGAGTTTCTAAAAAAGAAGCAATAGATTTCATTCTAATCAAGTGAAGAATGGAGGTACACCATTCAAGGATGATATAATAGGATACTTATATGGTAAGGCACAAAGAAACAAAAGAAACTCATTAATTTTGTTTTAAAAAATAAAGCTGTAGAGAATTAAACTTGTTTACATGGCAAAAGGCACCACCTCCACATGTTGAGTTTTTTTTTTCTGGTTTAGAATTAATACTTCAAGTTTGGCAAAAGAATAACACGAAGAATCCCAAAATGAAACTTAAATAGAGTCCCACAAGTGCTGCAAGGAAATAATTGAATTTTGTCCAAACAACTCCTAAAGTGATGCCTTTGATTCCAAGCTATAGTACAAAGATAAGGAAATAATTGATGGGGTGGGAAGAATGTAGCATTGATTGTGCTATAAGATGAGGAAGAGAATAAAGTATGTAAGTTTGAGCTTCGGTGGCAATTTTTTCTTGTTGACCCAATGTTTTCTTTAGATCAAGCAGCAAGAATATTATAAAAGTCGAAGTTAGTATCACTGCCCTCTGCATCGCAAGGCCCAAAAGCTTGAATCTTTTGGCTTCAAAAGCTTGACCACAAAAGATAGAAGAAATACCACTTCAACTTGAGCAATCTTTTGAAACTTCACTAAAAAAATGGCCTGGATTTAACATAAGAGGTGAGAAGCAGATGTGGAGATGAGGAGAAATTGATTTTTTTATTCTGAATGAGTTTTCTTGTAATATGAAGAAATATGCAGCACTCTCATTATGAAAAGGCTAACAATATGAATAGTAATCGTACATCTATGTAGCAGATCTATATATATAGACCAGTCAGTAACTAAGCAGAAAAACTAAGAAGGGAAAACTAAAAGAGAGTGAAAGTGAAAGACTAACTAGCCCACGTGACTAACCCATGTGCTTGTAACTAACAGACTAACTAACTGTTAACTTAATATACAAAGGATAAACAAAAGCTAATGAAAAGTAATTACAAAAGAATAATTATATTCTATATCACCCCCCCTCAAGTTGAAAAGTGGATGTCAAGGAGCCCCAACTTGGAAATGAAAGCATGAGAGGGAGCAGGTTGAAGGGCTTTTGTAAAAGCATCAGCAAGTTGCTTGGTTGTGGAAATGGGCAGCAAATGAATCAAGCCAGCCAAAATTTTTTCTCTAGTTATGTGACAATCGAGTTCAATGTGTTTGCTACGCTCATGAAAGGAGGGATTATGAGCCAAGTGTATTGCAGCTTGTTTATCACAATAGACATTAGCAGCCTTGGATATTAGAACCTGAAGATCATGAAGTGTAACATCCCGAGCATTGACGAGGGCGGGGAGTGATCGCCGGTGCAAAGAGGCACGGACAAGGAGCGGCTCCTGACAGGCTTCCAGTGCGGGGTTACATGCATGAATGAATCGAATCGACACCCGAAAGAGAGGGATTCCAAAGGCTGTGCGGGTATAAGACTGCACAGTTTGTGATAGATTATAAGAATTAATTGGTACTACCTATGCTAACAAGATGCATCTGCTTTTCGGTAGCCCAGATCGGAAGAACTCCACAGTTAAGCGTGCTTGACTTGGAGCAATTCTGGGATGGGTGACCTCCTGGGAAGTTTTCACGGGAAGTGTGCGAGTGAGGACAAAGCACACTGAAAAGTCTCGTGTTAGTGTGTGGGGACAGTCATTGATTCTTGCAAGTGGTCGAGCGTTACAAGTGGTATCAGAGCAGGGCCTCTTATCCAGTACGGTGTGGCTCGAAGACGAACCAGGCGGAAGCTGGTGGGCATGTAACATCCCGAGCACTGACGAGGGCAGGGAGTGATCGCCGGTGCAAAGAGGCACGGATAAGGAGCGGCTCCTGACAGGCTTCAAGTGCGGGGTTACATGCATGAATGAATCGAATCGACCCCCGAAAGAGAGGGATTTCAAAGGTTGTGCAGGTATAAGACTGCACAGTTTGAGATAGCTTATAAGAATTAATTGGTACTACCTATGCTAACAAGATGCATCTGCTATTCGGTAGCCCGAAACGGAAGAACTCCACAATTAAGCGTGCTTGACTTGGAGCAATTCTGGGATGGGTGACCTCCTGGGAAGTTTTCCCAGAAAGTGTGCGAGTGAGGAAAAAACACACTGAAAAGTCTCGTGTTAGTATGTGGGGATAGTCGTTGATTCTTGAAGCGGCCGGGTGTTACATGAAGCAAGTAAGACAACCATTGAAGCTCACAGTGATGGTTGCAAGGGCTCTATATTCGGCTTTTCCAGAAGATCTGGAAACAGTGCTTTGTTTCTTTGATTTCCAAAAAATGAAATGTCTGGTCTTGTATTAGTCAAATATAATAGACGTCCTACTAACCATCTATAAGCAGTAGGATCAGGGCATGGCTCACCTTCCCCTTGTTTCAAACGCAATAAAGAATCCATAGTATAATAGCTAAAAATGTGAGAAGGTAAATTAAAGAGAGAGAAATAATAGATAAATAGAAGGGAAATGAAAGATAATAAGATAAAATGTGATTTATTATTAAAAATAATAAATGGTTGGAATTAATTAAATGACATGATCATGCGAAAACTCCACATGAAAGGATCTCAATCTATAAGTACACACTTCTGAAACTCTAGTCTCTCATTGTCACTACGCACGCACCTCGGCCACTCCCTTGACTTTAAATCTCTTGCATACTCTATCAATGATGTGCCACTCTTACCGGCATCTCCTTCATAGAAATCGCTTATTACGAGATTCCACATTGAGTACGATCCTCTTAGATCAAACAATTATTAAATTAATTTAGAAAAAAACAATTTTAATTTTTAAAATGATTTATAAATACTCAATTCTTAACCCAATTGCGAAAAATGAGAATATTCATAATACGTTAATCATAATATAAAAGTGTTAGTAAAGTAAAATAGTAATCATCGTAACGGATAACTGAAGTGGTTGATTCACAACAAAAACTTCGTCTGATTAGGAAGGCAAACAAGAATCTATCTCCTGTTTAATTGTATTTGATTGAAAGGCGAGTCTTGATAAGGAATATGCCCACCAATTTTAAAACAAAACCTCTTCTGAACCACAAATTAAGGTCAATCCCATCTCTCTCTGTCTCACTATTTTCTTTTTTCTTTTTCTTTTTTGTTCTCAGCACGTTTTCTCTCTCTGCCTCTCTCCTCTCTCTAGCCTTAGTTTTCCGTTGCAGTTTTCAACTATAACTTCCTATGGCCCACCCCCAAGATTCTACAATATGGGTTCCCTTTTTCTCCATTCTTAACTCATACCTTTCGGTTATAAATGCCTCTAGAAAAAGGTTTTCTCAACCTCTGCCCAAACACTAGTACTATATATCATTGTGCTATAGTACTCTAAGCTCTTCTTGTTAAGACTACTAATATGGATCATAATTCTCAGAATTCATCTAGATGCAAATCCAACAAAAACCTAAGTGGTCCTGAGGAAAGTGGATGGACATCATACTTTGAAGATTTCTCAAAAGACATAGAGCCAAGTCACTGTTCCAGTTTTGGTGGCTCCTCTTTGGTCTCAGATGCTGCTTCTTCTGCTGCATGGAAATTTTCTCATCACAATCATTTTCAGGGTGCACCACCAAATACACCTAAGAAACTTTGTTTCAAGAAAGCAATAAGAGCCAAACAGATATCAGAGGATGACCCTTTGGAAGACACTGCTAGTTCTCCTCTCAATAGCCCCAAGGTATTTAAAAGAGTAATTTTTTCTTCACCTTTTTGTGTGATCTGATTTTAATTTCTTCTACCCTCTTTCACCATTGATGGTTAGATTTTTTTTCTTTTTCTTTTTTTTTCCCCTTGTCTTGTTATTAATCCTTATTATGTGTAGGTAAGAGACTTGGATACAACTGAAATCATTTCTAGTAAGATTGATGATGATCAACAAGAAGGTTCTATGGTAAACCAGTTGGAATATATTGGCTTATGAAAACATTTATGAAAAGAAGAAATTAATAAATTTTGTTGTCAACCCTAACCAAGTTCTATGGTTCATGATCATGATTGTGTAGGGTAAGGAATTCACATCATCAGAGAATTATTCAAATAAGCATGAAGTAAATTTTAATGGAAAGAAAATTGATTGCACAGACTTGAAGAAAAAAGGGCTCTGCCTGGTTCCTTTGTCCTTGTTGGTTAATTATTTGGGGTGACTAGTCTGACTGATACTTTTGTCCATAGCTTCTCTCTCTCTCTCTCTCTCTCTCTCTCTGTGCCTCTCTTTGTCTCCTTTTCTTTGTGTTTTTCTATGTGGCTCAAGTTATGGAACTATACACAGAATATGATCAATGACTGTGACAATCTGTATTATACCAATCCTAGTTAACATGTTGATAAATTTGTGTTTATTAATTTGTTCATGAAATGAAACTTAATTAGATAGGGTTTTAGTTTTATCCATGGAGATTAATTGCTCAATATGCAGTATAAAAGGAATAATAAAAAGGGTATAAGATAACATTATTAAAATAAAGTTCAGCAAACATGTGGATGACATTACTATATATAAATTTGAAATTAATAAACTAAATGTGGATTCTGATAAATTAATGCAAAAGGGAGAGAAGAGCTGTTAATGCTGCAATTGGTATAATGGGTACAGGTAAAAAAGGACAAAGAATTGGTATAGTAGTCGAAGTGAACCAGGTTGGTCAAAAGGTTTAAGTTGGTCAATCTTTTCAGTTAAAAAATTGTATGAAGTGTCAGAGTGTAATAGCCATAAATAGTAAGGTAGTACTTTTGTTTTGAATGAGAAGAGGGTGATCAGTGATGACACTTAATAATGAAATTTGATGCTAGCTACCACTGCCAATGTTGAGTTAAAACTTAAGGCAAAGTAGCTGTATACATGCTGCCTAGAGCAAATTTTTAAGTAGTTTGCATTTAGTAGGAAATATTAGCTTCCGATAAAATGTTTATTTGTTTTTAGTCAATAAACTTTTTAAAAATGAATTTAATGCTTGTAATCACATTCTCAAATAACAGTCTTATACCCTTTTGTAAGTAATTGAATATCAACTAAATTCATTTTTTTTTAATTGCTTAAACTCTTGGCACATAATGTGAGATATTCGATAGGCATTAATATTTAATACTAATCTTTATGACAGATTATAGAATTAGAAAGGAAAATATTCAAAACAATGACAACTATTTTAATAGGCTAGAAAAAAAAAAGTACGAACAAGTTGGTAGATATATTACTTTTTCTTTTATTTTAATAAAATGGTGAAAATAATGTGCAATCATTTCACGATGTGCGTTTGTTAATGGTGATACCTCTCTCCAAATAGACGATTACAAGTATCAAATCTTTTCCACTTCATTGACATAGGTACATCTTGAGACTTAGCCAACTACCGCTGGGCCAACTCATGTTAGGTGAATACATTTCTGTATACTGTGTCGAAAGCCCAGTACCCTATTTATATAAAGATTTTTTATTTTGACACTAAAATTAAATATCATTATCTTTACCTCTTGATAAAAGTACCTTGCATTAGGTGAATTACAAAAAACAATATAATAAAATAAAATAAAACCGGCAAAATACTAGCAACCTATGCATTTTTTTTTGGTAAATAGCAACCTATGCATTTTTAATTCCATATATATATATATATATATATATATATATATATTGTTTATTATGAGTGTGTCAATGAAGATACCACGGGAGACCAATGTTCAGGGGAATCAGACACTTAATAGAAGCTACAGGATATATATATATATATATATATATATATATATATATATATATATATATATATATATATATATATATGGTTATGCGAATATGCTAATTATTTATATTACACTTATACTTAGTATTACGTATAGTTTATTCAAACAAGAAAGGAAACCACAACAGAACCGCGAAAGATATATGCAATATGCAAGTCACCTTTGTACCCTCAAAAGTGTTTAATTTATATATAGGATATAACATCAAAATTATTTAATTAAAAGGAAACAGTAGATTGATAAGTTTAAATATTATTAATTCGTTCCTCCCTCCTGCTGGCCATTCATTTAATAAAGAAAATTTAGAAACAAAGACCCCTCCATGTGCTCAAGCATTTAAAACGGGTGAGAACGGAAGATTGCACGTATTATTATTATTTGTTTTTGGTGAAGAGCACGTATTATTTATGTATAAGCACATTTACTTGCAAATTCAACCATAATATGTTTTCTTGAACCCTCCATTATTCTTCTACAACCTACGATTACTTTTTATTTTCATTTTTATTAGCTTTGCGTACATGGGAATGGTGATCACATTTAGCCTCGCCCATTTGGTCAACAAGTTATTGCCTAAAGCTTCTAAATAAATCAATACGTGTATGCAATCCAATGCTTAAGCTCAAGATTACATTTGCCAACGAATGATATATACATGGTTAATTTGTGTATTAATTCGCCAGTCTCAATCAGAGAGTACTATAATACCAAAGTTTTTCACATGAGATGTGGTTGGAGATTAGACTAATAATTGACAAAGAAAACTCAAATGCATTACGTCAAATAGTTATATGAGGCTCTTCAATTAATATTGGATAGAACTTACTAGTGGTTTGAAAAGACAATTAGTCTGAACCACTTGGCTAAACTTTAGTTAACATCTCACGTTAGGTAACCAATCAAATAGTTCACAACCACTAATGATGTGATTTGTGTTATGGGGGTGGTGGATCAAAGGTCTATCTCAAAGCTTAAAACCGACAATCGAGGATCAACTTCACCTTTTATGATCATATACATTCTACAAGAATATCCATCACTTAAGACTAGTATAAGTCATGGCGATCAATCGTCAATCCCTTCAGCCCACTATTATATCTAACTTAATTACAGTGAAATTATAGTACTTACTTAATCGTTGCATGTATCTATGAAACCATATACGTGAAATTGAAGAGTAATAATGTAAAACGGTTTTAGCAGATGTAACCTTTTTTTTATATACATTGGTGAAAATTGAATACACAACCTAATACAAATTACCCAAATTCCTAACACTAAATCAATCCTAGTGGCTTACGGATATAACCTAAAAAAAAACAATTTTAAAAAGAGTATTGAAAGCTTCAATGATATTATTATTTTGCATTCAAGAATAGAAGTAGTTTTATTTTTTATTTTTTAATTCCTCGATTGAAGTAGTTTTTTTTTTTTTTTTTTTTATCTTTTTCTACCCACCTAAGACATGTTCTTGGAGCAGAAAAAAACACCTCCCTTAAGCATCTACGTAGCCTTAATGAGTTCGTTGGTGTATGCGTTCACTCTCTCTCTTACAAAATTTAGGGAAAGATGCATCCTGAGCTCTTAAACTATAACCTGTTTGGAAATAGTCACCTAAACTATAAAATATTTCTATTTAATTCCTAAATTATAACAATTATGACTACAATTAAATACTTCCATTCAATTTCTATAAATTTGCGGCTTTTTGACCCTTATAACCCTTTATTATTAATTAATTACCGATTTGACCTTGATTATAAACTATTTCAAAAATTTACCCCCTCAGAAAACATAACACCAATATGCCCCTGTTTGACCGTTGACCACCAAGCCTACCCGGGTACACCCCTCTGTACCCGGGTATTTTTTGAAAAATTTTGTCTACCCGGGTAGGGAGGCGTGTACCCGGGTATTGTTCTTCGTACCTGAAAAATTGCTTGAATTATTTACCCGGGTAGAGAGGGGTGTACCCGGGTAAATCTTCGACCACCCATTTGGTATTTTTTCTCTCTTTTTTACAGCTAATGAGATAGATCAGTATTATCAAGTTAAGCATGCCTAACCAATTTGAAGAGCTTTTAGCTTTGAGAATGGATTTGGAATTTCCATACATCAACACTTTACTGCTCATCAAAGCGGTCCCTGTTCGTATCGATTATGATGGGGTCTACTTTTATGTACGTCAAAATCGCGCTCCTATATATAAATGTGGTACCGAGTCTATTGGGGAGAGTGAGACGGAAAGAAAATAAAGACAGGGTTCATGGTACAGAAATTTAGTGTGAGCATGCAGCTTTTCATTTTACTGGTAAATGACGAATTATCACGTTCAGGGAAGACATGCATGAGACAAGGTTTGTGGTTGTGGATTTATACTGTTAACTGAGAATTCTCTTTCTGAAATAATCATTGAAAAATATTTGTGTGCTTTACAGACCCAAAAAAGTTGCAGAGGCAGAGCACGTGATGCCTCCATATTCAAAGCTTGGAGAAGAAGAGTGCATGGGAGATCCAAAGAGTAATCATACCGGGTGGTTGAAGATTTACCCGGGTACACCCCTCTCTACCCGGGTAAATAATTCAAGCAATTTCTCAGGTGCGAAGAACAATACCCGGGTACACGCCTCCCTACCCGGGTAGACAAAAATTTTCAAAAAATACCCGGGTACAGAGGGGTGTACCCGGGTAGGCTTGGTGGTCAACGGTCAAACAGGGGCAGATTGGTGTTATGTTTTTTAAGGGGGTTAAATTTTTGAAATAGTTTATAATCAAGGTCAAATCGGTAATTAATTAATAATAAAGGGTTATAAGGGTAAAAAAGCCATAAATTTGCTAATGGTTGTGAGAGTCACGTTATTGTATTTAACGATTTGCTGACGTAACAATATATCCCAGCCACCTATTTTGATCTTCATCATTTCCATTTTTTAGTTAACTATTTAATTTTCAAAAATAAAAAATATACTAATAATAGAAATAAAAAAATAAGGTTCTCAGTAGAACTCACTTCGGGCGGCTCTGTTGACACCATGGAAGAGGTTTGGTACCATTTGACAATACAAAATTTGAAGATTTTTTTTTCTTAATTTATAATGAAATAATAAATATATAAAAGAATAAAAATTAATTTAATGTGACCGAACAAAAATGTAGGTAGATGGAGGATTCTAACCATATTACGTCCTTCCTTCGTTAAACACTTTAACGGAAAGTTAATGAAAAATTCATTGTAAAAATTATTATAGTTTCAAGATTAAACGAAAATATCTAGCTCAAAGAGTCTAAGTTTATAGAGATATTAGGGGAATCCTACCTCTTTGAGGTAATTAAAATTGGTATAAAAAAAATTAAACGAAAATTCTACAAACAAAAAACGATTAAATGAAAAGGTTTTATAATTTACATGGCTGATTGTGAATGGATCAAACTTTGAGAGACTTTAAAACATTTCTCTCTTTTAAAAGTAAATGTTACTTTGTAGAATACTATTTTTTTATA